ACACACACACACACACAATTTTGTGACCTGTCTAGCCTTATTTTTTTTTTTTCAGCTGAGCCATCCTGCCACCTGTTGGCAGCTCAGCGGCAGCTCAGCTCGGGTGCAGCATCACAGGCCCATGTGGGAATAGAACCTGCGGCCCTGTTGCTCAGAGCTCGCGCTTTTAAGCCAATTCTCAGCCAACTGAGCCACTCGGCCGGCCCCTGTCTAGCCTTTTATAACATGTTCTTTTCTGTTTCTCTCTTTAAAACAATTCAATGTTCTATTCACTTAGTTCTCATAATTTTAGTATTTGTGTTCTTCTGCCTTGTGTGATAGCTTTTCATCTTGTGCTAAATATTGGTCTTATTGATCATTCCTATCTATGGTTTCCCTTCACTTCTTAGTTATTGAGAAAATATTCTCCCTTTTTTCCTCAATTTATGGTGATTCTTACTTTTCTCATTGTGCAAAGAAAAAAAGAAGTTGAGGTCAACAGCACAGGGGCAATTGTTTAGTAACAATTGTGTGCGTTAGCCTAGGGTAGGACCGTCCAGAGGAGCATTTTCTCTTTCTGTACTGTTTTCTGCTCTGACTGTAATGCTACTGAGCTCTAGAATGGGGGCTGGTACCTACATCACCAGTGCCATCAACCTCAACTTCTACCCAATAATGCAAACACATAAGAAAGGGACAGAGGGTAAGTGATGGCCACGGCCTCCACCTGCTAACACAAAGCTCTCTCCCTCCCTGGTGCCTGCTGCTCCCAATGAGGACAGAGAGTGACACAGGCTACTGGGGGAGGGTGGCCATATGAGTCAACGGCAAGAGGTCAGCTCTGGGAATAATGGTGCCTCTTTGGCCCTATACTTCTTAGAATTGTTTCAGTCCAACACTCACATTCTAAACTCTCTCACATGCTTTGCAATTGAAGAAGCATTTAACTGCATTAGAGAGGTATGTCTATTTTGTCAATCAACAAAACAGTATGTCAGAATGCATAAATGTTAGTCCCTGTTTTCACACATATTACATGTTATGGGAACATGTAGAACTGGTTAAATTGGTCACTGGGTGGTAACAAGTTAGTTTAAAACAATGTTTAAAAATGTAGGCTTGGACCCCATCAGTGTTTTCAAACTGGCACAAATATGAGAATCCTATAAAAGATTCACTTATAAAAGGAGCGCTTATAAAAAAATACAGATTCTAGGGCCGGCCGAGTGGCGCAATGGTTAAGAACTCGCTTGGGATGCCAGAGGACCCCGGTTCGGATCCCACATAGGAGGGCCAGTGACACTGCCCTCCACAGCTAAGATGCTGAACAACAGCTCAACCTGGAGCTGGGCTGCCATGAGTCGCCG